CTTTATCTATACATATACATTGACATATTTGTAATTGCATTAATCTTAACGACGTATGTGTCCGAATTCAAGCTTAATTTGATTCACCCTTTACTCATTCTCCGATCGCAAGGAAAAAAGTGATTTTTCTCTCAATAAAAATCAGGTATAAATATGAATAGTTTTTTATATAAAATTATTCCTTTCTTGAATCAAATAATAATTGTTTGTTTTTATAATTTAGATTGACTTCAAGGATACAATACTAAACAGCATAATACCAAGCAAGACAATAAAAAAGTAGATATTTGCTTTATTCTTTTTTATTTATTTACTTTTTTTCTTTTGAATCATATGGAGAGTGGTAAGTCCTCCTGTGATCCATTTTATGTTTTTGGTAATTTTAGGAAATGAACAATAAGGAAAAAGTATCAGAGCGTATATTATCTAATCCTTTTTCATCGGTTTTTTTGTCTTCTTCATTTTGCCATCAATATCATCATGTCGTCTTTATCAACATTGGTCAATATTCGACGTAGTGAGTAATCATTTCTTACTTTTGTTTTAGATGAGAATACGGTTAGACTTAGCAAAGTGAGCGTCAGTGAGGGGAGGGTGGAATGAATCATGTCCATTAATGTTTTCCTCTGTTATCGAAAGGACATCCGAGTAGTCCCTAAAAGCTCGGTCAGGAACTGTCTGAGTGTCCGTGGCACACGACTGAACCCTCTAAACTCATTGACAAATCTCTGACGTGGATGATTTGAGTCTGTCCCGTGCGTGTATGAGTTTTACGGTCACCACGGCTCCACCAGGATGATTCCTGATTGCGCGCGTGTACGAATAGATTAGCGATTAATTCTTTTTCATTGAATAACGATGTATTTGTGAAAGAAATAGAACAAAAAAATAATATTAATAATCGTTCTGAGTTCACTCGATTTGAAATTTTTGTACTCGATGATTTCCCCAATCTACGACATAGAGATTACCGTGCCGGTCGAATGACAAACCGACAGGCTCACTAAGTTGGTTCGATCCGCTTCCCATATTGTTTCCACCAATAATGATACTTCCCTGTGTGGCTCCTTTAGGCCAACGCATGATTCGATTGTTTCCATCATCAACTACATAGACAGTGTCAAATTGATCAACAACGACTCCTTTAGGAATTGCCAATTGTCTAAGATCATTTCCGGACCCTGCACTACCAGCGACGATAATGCCTAACTTTTCACCTTCTACCCATTTCATTGCACGATTATTGTCCCTCTCAGACACGTAAACCGAATAATGTCGATCGACAAATACGTAGCGGGCTCCGTTGAATTGATTGAGACGATTTCCTCGTCCATTGCCACCTGCAACCACTGTTCCTTCAGCGTCACCAATTTTATATCGCCTCACTGCATTGTTATCATCGTCAACGACATAGAGAGATCCATACTCGTCCATTGTCAAACCCCAACAACCGATGCTGGAGATGATTATTTCTCCACTTGTTCCATCTGAACGAGGCCATCGAACCACTCTTTTATTCGAAGAATCGCAGATGATGAGATAATCTGTCTCTTTGTCGACAATTACATCATATGGGTAAGACAACTGATTTTCTCCACTTCCTTTTCCATTTCCACCGGCAACCACTTTGCCACTCGTCGCACCCGATTCCCATTTCATAATACGATGGTTCTCATAATCAGCAACATATATTGTTTCATCATCGTCAACATACAAGCCCCATGGGTGAGAGAGTTGATTGAATAAATAGCCTGGTTGATTACCTCCAGCCACGGTGACACCATTTTCTTGCCATCGAGCATTTGGATGAATGTCAATTGAACTTCCACGTAATGGATAGACTGAAATTGAAAAAAAAGAGAGAATGAAATACGAGCCAAAGGAAAGAGAGAGAGAGAGTCTATAGAGAGAAAAAGTGAAAAGTACATCTGAATTTTAGCAAAACCAATAGCGTTCCAAGTTTTGGCTCGTATCGATTTTCTTTTTTGATAGTGGAGGGTAGCGCTATGAAAAAATGATTTGTTTTGTTTCTTTTTGGTTTTCTTTATAGCATATGAAATCGTGATATACAATATATATATGTATGCTAACAAATAGAATTATTATATTTCGAGTTGAAATGATGTCCACAAAAAAGTTGTTTTAAGAAGAAAATATCATCAAAATTTCAGTGGAAGCACAATGTTTTTCTTCTTAAAATATTGAAGTCTACAAAAATCATTCATATCCCGCGAAAGATGCTAGAATTTTCAGTCTCTGTGGGCTTTAATATCAGCAAGGAAAGTTTGTGTTTGAGCTGAAACTTTCAAAAACATTTTACTTACAAATACACGATCTTTCTATGGGCATAATCTCAACTCGAAATACTGTCATTCGGTTTTTAGATACATACACAATATTATAGAATAAAATTGCAGTAAAATCTCTACTAGTCTGCACAAAATAAATTTAGAGAATTTATCATTTTCAAGATTTTCATACTTTAGTCAAGTCTATTTTATGCAACAGAGTTCGAATGCAAGAGCGATTGAGCAATTGAAAAAGCTTGTTAACACAGTCCCGTTGTTACTATTTTCTTCAAATATATATGTGAGCTGCATAAAATTTTTCCTCAATATGTATGTACGAGTAACTATGATACTAAATTAATCATACTCGGAAACATTGAAAAATAAACAAAGGTTACAGATTTTAAGAGAGACTTGTAACCACAGTAAATAAGTAAAGCAAACCCAGTGAAAAATTTTTTCGATTAAGAATCCGATTTTTATGA